GAGAGGCAGATGTCGATTAACGGCGGCGGAACACCTCCGCCCGCGTCCCCTGAAGCAGTCGGCGAGTTCCTGGTGATGAAGGGAGTGCAACGAGAGGTCGAGAAGCTCCTTGAAAACGACCCCGACGACCCACAAGTATTTGGCGATCAAGAAAGCGAGGGAGATGAAGGAGACGAAGCCATGCCATGGTACGAAGAGAATGACGCAGAAGAAGAAGAAGAAGAAGAAGCCCCAGATCTCAAGACCTCCGGTGAGAGGGCTACAGCGAAGATCCAGGTCGCCGAGCTCCCTCGGGACAGAAGCGATGCCACGATGCTCCGTACTGACCTCACCAAACGAGGAGTCGAAAATTCTATGCACATGGAGTATCATGGAGTTCCGTGGCGCCGAAAAGAAGCAGTGGGAGGAACGCCTCTTGTACGAGGCCCTGGAGCCACTGAACGAAGAGCAAAGCGCCAGAGTCCGTCGAGATGTTGACGCCAGTCGGGTGCTTCGATGTCGGTGGGCATACCAAGACAAGAACCAAGCGGCGAGAGGGCGCGCAACAGCCCGAAGACATCCAAGGCGCCGAGGCGAACATCCCCTGGAAGCCGAAAGCGCGGTTTGTGTTGCCGGGCACACTGATCCTGATCTTGGAGTCGAAAGTCTTGCAACGGACGCCGCAACATTGACTCGTGCGGGGCTGACATGTCTCTTGCAGAAGACCGCGAACGGCATGTTGCAAGGACTCTTGGAAGTTGTCGGCAGGGCCCACCTCTGGCCTTTGTGGGATGCCATGTGGACGACCTGCTCATCACGGCACCGACCTCGCTGATGGATGCAGAGGAAGCTCTCGGATAACTTCCTCATAGAAACATGGGAAAACGACTCCTTCGAGTCTCTAGGATCAAAGATTGCTGCGGAGGGTGGTGTCGTGATGATGAACCAAGAACACTACGCCCCCACCACGAGACTATTTAGTTTGGATATCCATGTTGGGTCCAAGGACGACGGAGTGTTGCCATGGATGTCACCCCAGACCCGTCCAGACCTGACCTGTTCGGTGAACATGGCGCAGCAGCTACACGACCGTTTGCGACCTCCGCTTCACCAACGCAGTGGCCACCACAGTGCGACTTTTCGTGGCCGCGGACTTCGATTCCAAGGCATCGAGGAGAAACAGATTATGTTCGTCGTCTACCATGCTGCAGCGTAGGCTACGGTCCATGTGCCCGACCCAGAGGAAGAGTACTACGTCCTCACTCCGTCCGATGATGAGGCCTTCAACATGAAGGACCATATCGACTCGACCGGGCGAACCTCCGAGGAAGGCCGAGAAAGGAACTCGAAAGGTTGCTTCGCAGATTGGATGCGTGGTGGCTGCCTAGTGGTGTTCATCGGCAGAAAGGCGAACCCAGCGTCTTTGGCATCGCCGATTGGCGGTCGCTGGGCAGAGAGTCTGCACGAGCACCTTTCGGGCCGAAACTCCTGCGTGGAAGGGCTTGAGACAGCAGCGACCACCAGGACTATCGTGGATGTCTCCGCGGTGCTCGCCATCCTCTGTCAGACTGCCGGTCGTTGTACGACCATCTCACAAACCCAGGCATCCCCAGGGTGCAAGGCCTGGCAGTCGACCTCGCTTCTCTTCGACAAGCTCTGAGACAAGGCGGTGTACAGATTTGCCGCTGGGTTGGATTCTCGCAAGTTTGCAGCTTGGGGACATTCTTGTCAAGCCACAGAACCCTGCCAGTTGGTGGGAAAGGCTGGAAGCGTCCCTTGTTATCCCAATCTCCATAGGAGAGCGAGATGCCCAGATCAATAACAAAACGATCAGACGGAGAACCAATGTGAAACTTGAGGAATTCCAGGTGCTCAGGCGTGTGTCCCACGAGTACTACACCGACGGTTCATCTACCAACAGCAGTTTGACAGTCTGCAGGCAGTCCGAAGTCGCTCGAAAAAGTGGAGCGCGACCAAGCCGTGGGGCGATCTGTAGTTCTTGCCCATAGGACGTTGACTGTAGGTCCCCCGGCTCTTCTAGTTTGGCATTTAGGGTGTAGGTCGAGTTCATAGTTTTAGAACTAGTTGCAGTTAGACATTTTGTTCGGGCCGTTTCCGGGTAACAACCGTGCGAAACCGTTGAAACGAACCGTTCCAACCGAGCCGTGTACGACCGAGCCGTGTACGAACCGTCACCGGTTATCAAAGGTTCGGTTCATTGCAAACGGTACCGACAGGAACCGCAGCCACCCTGGATTTAGGCTTCAAACTTGTAGGCTGCACAGCACGAATCGACTCGAAACGCATGAAAACCTTTAAGGAAACGAACCATTCGATTCGATTGCTGAGTTTTTTACAGGAATCTCAAAATTCAAGCTCTAGAAAAAAAGAAGCGTATGTCGCCACAACGTCACGTAGAAAACAAATACAATCCCACAACAGTTCGGTTTCTGCTGCAAGCCGAATCGACCAGAGATAAGCTGAATAGCTAACCAACGCCTACTCCCTCGCGAGCTATCGCGCGCTCTCGTGACTCGGCCCAACCAAAGATTAACCCCCTATCTAATTCTTTCATGGGGGGTTTATGGTGCCGCTCCATGTGCTGCGCCACCACGGCGTCATGTTCTAAGCTTCAGGAATGAGTTGAGGTGCTGGGCTCCCACAGTGCCGGAATGAATCATGGAAACCTCGTCGGTCAGCTCTGGGTGTCTGCCATCTTTGCAGCACTCTACAACCCTCTTGCCCTGATCCCGCGCTCATGTTTGAATACGAGCACTCTCATCAAAAGGCGAAGGCCGCTTGGCATGCCGTGTGTTTGCTGTCCCGAATCAGGAGATCTCTGGACCCCGCGATTAACCCGACTGCAAGGGGCAAAAACCCAACGGCCATGCCAAGCGGAAAGAAGTCGACCGTGGAGGCGCGCTCTATGCATTTACAAGTGTTTGGGGTTCAGGATCTTGTCATAACTTGAGGGGCGGGGCCAGGGGAACGAAAGCTAGCAGGTCCATGCTAGAGGAGCTAGGGCAGCAAGAGGGCAGGGTCGGATGCACGCATACTTTGTTGAACCAGATGGACACAAAGGTGCGTGTCCAGATTAAGGTTTGTTGAGGAAAAACGTACGATTGGCGTGGCTTGTTGAGCAAAAGCGTACGATTGGGGCGGCAGGAAATCATGAGCACACGCACCAGCAACGGAGATGAAACAGAGCTGGCAAGGCGGGCTCCAGGCATCAGCACACGCAGCTGCATCAGCACATCGCATGAGTGAGGGGTGGGGGAGGGGAGGTGGGGGGGGGGTTTTGATCGAAGTTTTTTGCTTGGGAACCGCTGGTCCAGGCCCCACTCCTAACGGAGATAGAAACGAAAGCATCGCTACGCTAGCCGCTAGCTTTCGTGACTTGTCTTGGGGCTCTGGGTCACAATGATTGCTCAGACTGTCGGCTGAGTCCGTGGCCAGCAGGGAAGTCTGCAAGAGCTGCGATTACTTCTACAACCTCAGGACACAATAGCATAAGGTCTCTTGACATTCACACTCTCAGGCTAGACCCTCAAATAAAGGCGATGTAGCAGCACTTGCAGGTGACTGATGTGCCTAGGTTTGCCCAGACGAGCAGTTCTGACATGAGACGTCAAAGCCGACCTGCACAACCCACTTCTTGTCTTTGAGCTCAGGCAAACGCGAAAACGACACGACTCCTCCCCACCAGTTCTTAGTGGACTCAGTGGCGGACTCTTTCCGAGCCACGGCACGCCGGTAGAGCGCCTGACCACGGTGTGAGGATGACTGAGACGGCTCGCAGACTGCTTGCTGGCTGCTTACAAGGATGTTGGAAACATAGCCTTACTCGATCTATAAGCATGGCAGCCTTCTTGACAATTCTCGCTTGCGATTCTAGTAAAGTGGTGAGAAGCTTGCTTGCCGCTGCAACTGCAACCATGCATGTTGGCACTCCTCAACCGTGTGTCATCCACGGCTCTTGCCGTCCTTCCACGAGGGCTACGCGTAGTTCAGACCTGTGCAGGGCTAATAACTGCAGAACTTAGGTGCCGCCTACCCAAATTCCACCTTTCGTGCTTAGGGTCAGGGTAGATGATTGGGGCGGCAGGCGAAGAAAATCGGCCTGAAAGGCCGCACACATGTCAGTAGACCTCTCCTGGCTGCCACGACAACATTGCGCAACTGAGGGCCAAACTCGAGTCGTAAGACCTGCATGTAGCCCCCGCTGCTTGTAAGTTTGCAGCCAGTGGGACTACAGGTTTGTGGGCACAAAGGTCTTAGAGCGGCTTCTGGTTCGAACAGCGTATCATGGCTCAGCAGGTATGAGTAGGAGCAGTGTTCTGGGCACGCAGCCGTGCACCGGAGATGTCTGGCGTTCAACATTAGCTTCGTCACCGAGTTGCAGGCTCCGTCTGAGATGGCACCTGGCACCTGGCTGCTTCAGACCTTGGCCATCGCAGCTGTCACTGCACTTACTTGTCTCACTGCGACTCCCGCACACTGCAGCTGCGCACCTCTTTGCAGAAATCGGATAACACAGCACGAACACTTTGCTGCACATGAACCGACTTTGGCAACATGAGATCTGACATGCGCTGACGTAAGCTGTAAAATTCCAGCGACTGCAAGCCTTCTTTTCTGCTCTAGGGCTTCGCCGGATTCGCACAAGAACTTGGCTGGGCTCAAGTTCGTCGCTGCTAAGTTGAGATTGCTGAGCTTCCATTGATGGATGCGCAGTGAAAATTTCGATGCGTTCCGAGGTAGGCCTCAAGGCAATCTCATGCTTCCAGTATCAAGATGCAAAAGAAGTTCCACTAGAACGATTGAAAAAGTGCTTCTTGAAATTCCCGACCATAGACCTGCCCCAGATCAACATTCTATTTCCTGGCTCGGCCTGTGCCAAGACAAGAACACAAGGCTGGAAAACGCAAACCTAAGCATTGATGAAAAGTGCCTGTGTGGAAGCGATTGGGAAAAACATTCTGTAATCGAAGGCCGCGGTTAGACACTTGGAGCTGAGCCTTCTACAGTGTTACGAGCGTGCCTGCACGGCTACGCGCGGCAAAGTCTTCCGTTGTGGATGCTAGATGTCGGTGGGATTCCCACTCATGAACGGCGCTCACAATGTCGCTCAGGAGGCTTGTTTCCTTCTGATCAGAGCACGTCTTGGAGTCACTGACGATGAATGCACAGCCGTGCTCTTCTGCCAACTCTGCAAAGCGCGACAGCTTCTCTACACTGGTGCCGGCTGTGCAACCGACTTTGGGCTTTGGCTGCCCGCGCTGTTGCTCGCCATTGGCCTCCCCGTTATGTAGCTTTTTCAAGATCTCAAAGCTCTCCTTGGTTGCGGTATGATCGTCGAAGAGAGTCACCAAATTCTGGGCCGGCTTTCCACCCGCAGAATCTCTCTTAGAAGCCTCCAAGACCTGTCTCACGAAGGCCCATGAGTCCCCAACACCATCCCCATTTGCATCTTTCGCTTGAAGCACAGGAAGCAAAAAGAGCGTCTTCGGATGACTGAGGACGAGCTGCGCAATCAATTTTGCACTTTTTGTGGATTGGAGCAGAGCCCTCTCAACATGAGTTGAGTTGATGTTGAGCTGCACATGCCGTGCTTGATATCGTTCGCCACACAAGCCAGCGATCATACGTTTTGCTTCTTTGTTTTCGCTCAGAAGGTCCTTGACACACTGCCCGTTCAAATGGAACGCCACTGGTATTGCTGCCGGCATGGCTTCTATCATCTTGTCGACCTGCGGCAGTACACACGGCAGAGAGGCATCCTGCGATGGCACAGGCGGCACAGATGCAAGCGAAAAGGCTGCCACGAGCAAGACCTTGCTTCTTGCTTTGGGGCTCAGAACACTCAATGTTTCTCTCCGCAAGTCCACGATGCTGAACTCAAGAACTGGGGGGAGCAGCTGAAGCAAGAAGGACTTGACCACTCTGTGGCCGTGCTTTCTGTGCCATGTCGATGATGTCACATCTGCCTGATGACAAATGTGGTTGGACCAATCCAACACTGTCCACCCATTGTTGTCCTCCTGTCCAGGGTCAGCTCCATGGGCAGCAAGCGCTCTGAGAATGGCAGGTTCAGCCTCGTTCTTCACTGCAAGCATTAGTGGTGAGAGTCCACAACCATCGCTCTTCTGCACGGCGTCATGCATCGGATCTTGTGATGGCATTGCCACTTCCTCCGTCAGGTATCTGCGCAGCTGATTCCATTCCTGATGCGCAATTGCATGGTGCAGGGGGCGGCGTACCAATATGAAATCTTCAATGGTCATGCAGAAGAACCTGATGTTGAGAAACCTCAGCCAATCAGATTGCATCAGAACTGAGACACGCCGTCAGAACATGCCTGACTGCTAAGCTGCACTGTGGTTTTTCCCTATTCCGCATGCCGTCTAGTTGAAACACAGCTTCGAAGTTTGGACCACTGATTAATGTTCCCCTGCGCTGCCACGTTGGCTTGTTGTAAACAGCCTCGTTTTTGCAACTAAAGCTTTGGCTTTTTGAAGCTACAGCCTTGGTTGGGCCCTCTTGGACCCTACAACAGGTACAAACTTTCTTTGTATGCATATCTATTTAATATAATGAATTTGCTCCTACTGATTCAATCTGAGATATGTACACTAAGATCTGTACAAGATACGTGACAGGCATAAGCCGTGGATTAATTTGTGATTAAATAGCAACTGCCTGGTCCTTTATCCAGAAAGATCGCGAAAAATGAGTTGCCAGCGAAGGTCACCCCAAGCCATTCTCACCGCACACAGCAGCAGCAGACGTGCTGCTGCTCCAGGTGGCCAACTTGCCACGAGCGGTTTAGGGTGTAGACAGGCGATGGGAAAAATAGAAAGTGCCTGGAATCACAATCCAGATCTGGAGTCCACTGTTAAATACAATCGCTGCCCTTAGGCACTGACTTTCTACAACGTCGTCTTACTCTAATTGGTACTTAGCAAGGAAGTCAAACAAATATCACTGAACATTTAGTCCTCAGTTTTCCACTTGAGATTTGCAGGACAAGACTTGTTTACCAGCTTCCGTGCTATGACCTTGGAGGGAGCTTGATGCTCTGCTGCGCATGGTCTTGATACCCACCCCTACAAATGGGCTGGTCGAAGGCCAAGAAAGAAACAAGGATCGAGGTGAGCGTGAGGCCAAAATGGCCACAGAAAATCGAGTTAAACCGAGAGGGGGTCTCACACGAGTCGTCCGTTATACTCGGAAAGTCTCAAGCCCCCGTGGCAGTGGCTAAATCTGTTTGGCATCCCGCTCGCAGATGTGCTATTCTTTCAACCGACATGAAAGGTGCCATGTCTCTGGGTTTAATTTCATCAGTGGCTCGCACTTTGGAATTCATGGCGATGGTTGTTTTGTTCTGAGTAAGGAATGCGAGATCTCACTTCCTGGCGGCGCTGTGCCGGAAACCACCATGGCAAACGCATGCCGTGGGGCAACAAACTCAAGGAGGTAGGCAAAAGTACTTGGATGTAGGCACTTGCTGCCGTCGCCACACGTGAATGATTCGATTTGTCAAGGTCTTCCTTTGAGTTCCTGCGGGCACACCAAATCTTTCTGTCTTTCTTTCAAGGCCTGGGAGGCAAGACCCAGCGCGATCCGCGCCCCCACGTTTTGTGGAGACATGACGCACTGACGGGGCGGCGGGGTTCGGATATCAACCCTCTTTCGCGAATATCCATGGATCGCTTGCATCAATGCTAGACACATTGACCTAGTACTGGGCAAATGCTGTCGCACCAACGCAAATCCATCTCGGGTCATATCCGTCTCTTACCAACTGCAAGGGTCCGCCTCGAAGTAGAGAACACAACAGACTACATACTATGTACAGTTTGTTCGATAGGACCTTGGTAACGCTGTCCTTGAGAAACGTTCTGTCCATAGAATCTTAGTCGGCGAAATTGAAAAACGCCAGGCACCGTTCATCTGCATAGGCTAATTAAGAAGTTATACAACAGTACGGGGCACACACACACACACACACTTTGGTCGCTTAAGGCCTGGTTGCTAGGTCGTCATCATCATTGAAGCAGCAGCAGCGGCGGCGGCGGCGACGGCGGTAGCAGCAGCAGAACAAGCAGAAGAAGAAGAAGAAGCAGCAGCAGAAGAAGCAGCAGCAGCAGAAGCAGCAGCAGCAAAAGCAGCAGAAGCAGCAGAAGCAGCAGAAGCAGCAGAAGCAGCAGAAGCAGCAGAAGCAGCAGCAGCAGCAGCAGAAGCAGCAGCAGCAGCAGCAGCAGCAGCAGCAGCAACATCAGCTCGGGTAATTGTGAAGGCGGTTCCATGGATCTGGCACTTGTGCGATGGTGTGCAGATACGAGGAGCAGGAGTTGGCACGAAACATGCTACCAGCAAGCTCCGGCTTGCAGCTGAAATAACAGGAGCTGACATGCGCACCATAAGTTTGGACTTCCGGCGTGCACAGAAAACTCCGCACTTGGCGTCTATACTGCATCTTGACATGCCGGATTGCCTGAACAGCATTCAATGAAAGAGCGATTCACTTCCTAGTGAGTGGCTGGGATGACTAAGCCGGAAACTGCAATGCCATGACTTCCGCGGACTGCGCGCGGCCGATTTGATGGTTGGCCAGGGTCAACACAATCGGAACGCAACCCGACTGCATGGCACGAGTCACACTTCTCAGCCAAGCATAAAACCACGCATCTCCCCAGCATGAAAGCCAAACAACTGCAAAATGCATACCATCCTCCAGGCAGATACGGATCACGGTGTTGTACATCTCTGGGTCTGCACCTGGGATCGATACGATTGCAAGCCCTCGCTGGTCTATGCAGTCGTGATAGCGTTCACGGAGCACAGGATGTTTCGCTGCTCTGGAAGCGAAGCCAGCAGAAGCCACTGACACCTGCCCTTGACCCCCCAAACCATCATCGATGCTGGTGATGAGCCCCTTCGTCCAGTTCTCAAGAATCTCCTTGGGGTCCCGCTCTGGGATAGTTCTTGCTTTTCTCCACTCCGGTGACTGCAGGAGGTTCTTCAGATATCCCAATGGCGTCTGCCCTTGGTACGGAGGCCCAGGCCAGGCAGGCGTTCTTACGACTGTCAACATACTTTGACATGGAGGATGCAAGTAGTCCCGTAGCTTGTCTGCACAAACAACCTCGAAGAGTTTTCCCTGCCAGATCCGTGTTGGATCTTCTTCTGCGACAGGTGCCTGGATGCCGCCGCCGTCTTGTGCAAGAACGAACCACTCGGTGGCAATGGAGCCGGCGATGTAGATGTTCGCTTCCTTCGTGGCCTCGCCTTCCGTCTCAACTTCAAACCGTGTTTTGTCGATGCTCTTGACACGGTACACTGTGTCTGGCCAAAACAACTGTGTCTCACGGCTACCAATGGCCAAGCTTCCATCGTGCTGCGGATATACTTCTTTCCCGGCAGCAGGGTTAAACTCGCTTCCGGCAACATTGTCCACAAACTCCTGGCAGCGCTTCACGTTGAGCTCGCCATCGAAACGGACTCCACGAAAAGTCTCGACGAAGAAGTTCCTACCTTCTGGCATGACCCACCTCATGTCCCGCAGCTTTTGAACCACATTGTCTGGAGAGAAACCCCCAGCGTAGCCAGTCACCCTGCCGACCGAAGCATCTTTCAAAGGAAGCCGGTAGAACGCAGATTCTATGCCTTCTCCGCGAGATGCGTTGTAAAGCAGAATCATCTTTATCCCCTTCGGGGGGGCCTCACTCAGCAATACGCGGATCAGCTTCTCTGCATTGGGGCTCAGGTTGTCCCCATTCACTGCGAGGATGTAGGTAAGGCTTTTGTATTCTTGCTGAGAAAGACGCTTCAGCAGCCTGCGCCCACATGCTTCAATATCTGGGTAGGATGTGACATCACTGACATTTGAGTTGAAATACAAATACACGCTGTGGAAGCCACATCTATGTAGCCAGTCCAAGAAATCGTCAGCTTTAGCATCATCGAGAAGAACTGTCCCAAATGGTGGGTCCACCAGTTCAGCACAAAAATGGTACCGTGAAGACGCACCATCTACCTTCAGCAACTTCGCAAGCGTCTTCATGCGCGGGAACCGCTTCAGCCGTTCTTCATCACATTTTCCTTGGTCTCCATAATCATACAATTCCAAGATACTGGCATCCTTTCTAACGTCAGTCCTCCGTTTTGGGACATCATGATGACCGATGTGGATTCCAAACTCGATCCAATGCCGCCCCTGGGATATCTCTTCAAAAGTCTCTAGCTTCAGCTGCTCTTCTCCAGCTCCGTTGATCAAGATACTACGCAGTTTTGTTGCATCATGAGGCTGCCAAGATCTTGCGACTTCTTTCAACTGTTGCTTGGAGTACTTCAGCTTGATCTCCATACCTTTCTGAAGAAAAGGACGCTCCGAGCCATGGCTCCGTTCCAGCATGTCGTGTGATTGCGTCATGGCCTCTGCGTGTTGCAACTTTTGCCAGATCCTGGTAAGGTTTTCTTGGATATCTGGTGATACACACCAGTCCCGGAACGTTCCAATTCGCAGTTCCTGCTGCAGATGCTGGTGCGAGAGGCATTCGTGCCAACTCTTCAGATCTTGCAGCAACTCCTCAATGGGAATGTCAGCCTTGGAGAGCTGGCTTATGAGATTTTGCTTGACCGACCCAGCTGCTGTGCGACTGTCTTCTAGCACTTCCAGGAGACTTGATTTTGGGATTGAAAACATTGGGTTCTCCGGCGTCATGGCTTCGGCCAGGTGGTGGGCGTTGCCCATCTAAAAGCTTTTCACCTCGCTGGCCTAAAGAGCACAAGATGTTGACATTAGGTGCCACATCAATGAGGTTAAAAGTCGCACATTCATCAGAAGCGGAACGTTTGGTTGCGCGATTACGCTTCGAAAGCCCAAAACGAGCCGCAGGTGATTCAACATGTTCACAACACGCTTGCATGAAGACTGGCTGGTCAACCAAGGCTGAGGCAGTGCGAAATCCGTTTCGCTTGTGCTAGACTGCCACACACTGCAGGCAAGGCCCTTTCTGGCCGGCCTCAAGACGGCCGAGCACGGATTCACCGTGTAACCGACACGGAGCCATAAATCAGAACTCTCGATCGAATGTCCAACACAAGTCCAGACACTCGACTGATATGTTTCAGAGCCTCGTCCATTTCTGGCGCACTTCCACACAGCTGACCGGCCTGGGCTGCGCTAGTACTCGTCCCCTCTAACAACTCTTGGAGAGTTGCTTTGACTTCTACTTCAGAAAGTGGCTAGCCATCAGCAACGTGAGAAACGCTGTGATGG